TCCACAATATGTACCTTCTACCTCATGGTCCAAGATGGCTGCCTGAGCTCTAGACATCACAAATGCATTCTAGCCAGGAGAAAGGTATGACAGAGGGTACCCTTTCCTTTCTTCCTTTTCTTTTTCCCCCTTTATTTATTTATTTTTTATTTTTTATTTTTTGGAGAAAGAGGGAGAGAGAGAGAGAGAGCGTGCGGGTTGAAGGGAGGAGTGGTGGGAGAGGGATAGAATATCAAGCAGGCTCCACATTCAGCATGGAACCCGACATAGGACTCGATCTCACGACCCTGAGATCATGAACTGAGCAGAAATCAAGAGTCGGTCGCTTAACAGACTGGGCTGCCCAGGCGCCCCTCCCCTTTGTTTAAAAAAACATATTTTAGAGCACTGTTAGGTGCACAACAAAATTGAGTAGGAAGTACAGAGAGGGGCGTCTGGGTGGCTCAGTCAGTTAAACGTCTGCCTTCTGCTCAGGTCATGATCCCAGCGTCCTGGGATTGAGCCCCATGTGGGGCTCCCTGCTCTGCGGGAAGCCTGCTTCTCCCTCTCCCTCCCCCTCCCTCGTGCGCTCGCTCTCTCTCACTCTCTCTCTCAAGTAAATAAAATCTTAAAAAAAAAAAAAAGTACAGAGTTCCCACATACCTCCTGCTCCACAAACAACCTCCCTCATTATCACTGTCCCACACCAGAGTGGTACATTTGTTAGAATCAGTGAACATACACTGACACGTCCACATCACCCCAGATCCACAGTTACGTTAGGGTTCAATCTTGGTGTTGTACATTTTATGAGTTTTGACCAGTGCATAGTGACATATGTATCCACTATCAGTATCACGCGGAATAGTTTGACGGCTCTAAAAATCCTTCGTGTTGCACCTGTTTATCCCTCCGTCTGCTGGCTACCACTAATCTTTTTATTGTGTCCATTCTTTAGCCTATTCCAGAATGTCCCATAATTGGAATCAGACAGTCTGTAACCTTTTCAGGTTGCTTCTTTCACACAGTAATATCCATTTTTTGAAAGATTTTATTTTTAAGTAACCTCTACACCCAGCATGGGGCTCGAACTCACAACCTCAAGATCAAGAGTCACATGTTCCACCAACTGAGCCAGCGCGGTGCCCCTCAGAAATACACATTTAAGGTTCCTTCATGTATTTTGTGACTCGATAGCTCACTTCTTTTTAGTGCTAAATAATATTCCATTGTCTTCCAAGTTTTAGCTGTTATGAATAAAGCTGCTCTAAACATCCACGTGCACGTTTTCATGTGGGAATAGGTTTTCAGTTCATTTGGGTAAATACCGGGGAGTGCAGTTGCTGGATCATATGGTAAGAGTATGTTTAGTTTTGTAACAAACTGCCAAGCTGTCTAGCAAAGTGGCTGTACCATTTTGCATTCCCACCAGCAGCGCATGAGAGTTCCTGTTGCTCCACATGCTCCTCAGCATTTGGTGGTGTCAGTGTTTTGGATTTTGGCCATTTTAATGGGTGTGTAGTCTCTCCCTTACTTTTTTTTTTTTAAGGCATATTCTTTTTTTTTTTTTTTTAAGATTTTATTTATTTATTTGACAGAGAGAGAGAGAGAGAGAGTGACAGCAGGAACACAAGCAGGGGGAGTGGGAGAGGGAGAAGCGGGCTTCCCGCCGAGCAGGGAGCCCGATGCGGGGCTCGATCCCAGGACCCTGGGATCATGACCTGAGCCGAAGGCAGACGCTTAACCGACTGAGCCACCAGGCGCCCCTCTCCTTTACTTTTAAGAATACTTCTGGAAGGGGCGCGTGGGTGGCTCAGTCGTTAAGCGTCTGCCTTCGGCTCAGGTCATGATCCCAGGGTCCTGGGATCGAGCCCCGCATCAGGCTCCCTGCTCGGCCAGGAGCCTGCTTCTCCCTCTCCCACTCCCCCTGCTTGTGTTCCCTCTCTAGCTGTCTCTCTCTCTCTCTCTGTCAAATAAATAAAATAAAATCTTTAAAAAAAAAATACTTCTGGAAGCCAACAAATGAAATATGCATTATATGACATAGGTCAGCACTTAGTCATATGACTACATTCAGCTGCAAGGCAACTGGGACGTGTAGCCTGTACTGTGAGTGACCGAGTGGCCATCTGAAAAGTCAGGGTTCTTATTACTAAGGAAGAAGAGAGAATGGACACTGGGAGCCAACCAGCAGTCTCTGCCACACTGCAGGGAAGAGAGATCCTCTCAAACCAGCTTAAGCACGAAGGGGAATTTGTTGGGTGCATTCAGGGATGTTTCATGAAGACCCAAGGACAGGAAGTGTGGAGGAGCCTCTCAGGGTTCTGGATCTGGAGATTTGCCAGAAACCAGAGCAGCCTTTTTCTTCCGCTTTTCAGGGGCAGCATGGGTCTCATTTGCTTCTTTCTATACATCTACTTTGTTCTTTTCTCTTTGCGCATGGTGGGAAAGATGTCCCAGCTTAAGTACTTCAGATCAATTAGCCAACTTCCCAGAGCCCAATTCCAAATTTATCGAGTCACAAAATACATGAAGGAACCTTAAATGTATATTTCTGAGGGGCACCTCGCTGGCTCAGTTGGTGAAGCTGTTTGGGCCAGCCTGGGTCAGGTGTCCGTCCTGGTTCAGTCAACTCTGGCTAGAACAAACAAGGTAATAAAGGACCCACCTCTAGAGGGAAGGAGGGCAGTTTTCCAAGAGTAGGTGTCATGGGGTGGGGAGACTCCCCGAAAAGTATCTAGAGCATGGACATAGACTTCTTAGGTCCATGTCCCAGGACTTTGCAAAACATCTTTCATTTAGGTAAACAATTATTGGGTATTTTCTGTATGCTAGGCACATGGATCTGCCTTCTAGGGAGCTTTCTCTTTTTAAAAAGATTTTATTTTTATTTATTTGAGAGAGAGTGCACGGGGTGGGGGGCGGGCAGAGGGAGAAAGAGAAGCAGACTCCCCAGTGAGCATGGAGCCCGACGCAGGGCTCGATCCCAGGACCCCAAGATCATGCATGACCTGAACCGAAATCAAGAGTCAGAGGCTTAACTCACTGAGCCACCCAGGAGCCCCCTTTCTAGGAGTTTTCTTTCTTTTTTTAAAGATTTTATTTATTTATTTGAGAGAGAGAGTGAGAGAGAGAAAGAGCACAAGAGGCGGGAGAGGGAGAAGCAGACTCCCCTGCTGGGCAGGTAGCCCGATGCGGGACTCGATCCCGGGACTCCAGGATCATGACCTGAGCCGAAGGCAGTCGCTTAACCAACTGAGCCACCCAGGCGCCCCTTTCTAGGAGTTTTCTAGGTCTCTTTGGAATTCGTTCATATCTGTGATCTGCACTGTCTATTGGAGTGAAGTGAGAACTCCTTAAATTAATCATGTCTTAGCTTTCCCTTTCACGTCTCAAGGTGAGGATCATGGGCTTTGGCGAATGCGTGTTTGCTCGTCTGGGTCTTTGGGAACTATAGTGATGTCCTAGTTCTCCCCTTTTGTCTTTGTTTCTCTGGTAGAGTGTCTGAGTTCTTTAGCTGATTTAGATATGGCCTCCTTTCCCCCCCATCTCTCTAATTCCTTGACTTTTTTTCTTCAGCCCTGGGCTGGGCCTCCACTGTCCCCAAACCACACATCCCAAACAAGAAATTTGTACTCAGGGAGGAGAATGTTAGCTTTCTAGTCCCTGTAGGAACAGGACTCAGAATTTGATGGCCCCTTCTAGCAGCAGCAGCAGGTGCTGATAATGATCATATGTACTGTTCTTTGAGGACACACTCTGGGCTCAGCACCAAGCTAAGCCCTTTATGTGCATCGTCTCATACATATAATCCTCATAACAGCCCTGAGAGGGAGGCATTATTTCCGCCCATTGTACAGATAGCTAATCAGGAAGCAACTTGCTGGGGGGTCACACAGCATCTGGGTGCTGGAGCTGAGCTTCAAAACCAGACCCCTCTCCCTCCCGAGGCTTCCCACCTGCCCAAGGCTTCGGAGGACACTCCACATTGCCCCCGAGGTCTGCCCTGTGCGTGCCCTCCTGTGCGTATCCTTTCCGAATGTGTTTGCTAACTCCTGTCACGTTGAAGGTAACTCTTTGGAGATAAACTCTGATCCCTTTTTAGTCACCGGACAAAATAGGTGGGGCTGTGGCAGGGGGATGGGTGTGTGGCTGAAGCAGCAGCTCTGGGCCAGGCCCTGCCCTCTCTAGGCCTCAGTCTCCTCATCGGTGGCTCTGTCAGCCTTCCTCAGCCCTAACGTTCTATAATTTCCACCTTCACTAAGCATTCGTAAGGGGTCCATGAGGTTGGAGCTTCTGCACCCCACTGAAAGAGGAGATTTTGATCCCCGGCTGAGCCCCGCCCCCCCCGGGCCCGTGAGGCCTGCTTCTCCCCATCACATCTCCTGGCCTCCTGCACCACCTGCTGTCTGTTCTGCAATCCACAAAGGTTGCTTGATGCCGCCCCCCCAATTCTTTCCAGTCGGGGTTGAGTGTGGCCCCTTCGGCTTATTGAGCCCCGGATTTGATGAACAAGCATTCTCCCATCTGTCTTTGAGAATACAGAGATGTCCGCATTCTCTCTGGTCTTTTACTAAGCACTTTTGTATATATTTGTCAGATCACTACTTTTCTCTTCACCTCTAGGGGCCCATAGTATCATCTCCATTTTGCAAATAAGGGACCCAAGGCTCAGAGAAATTAACAGATCTGTCTAGATCGACACACTAGGTAGTACGAGAGTCAGGCTTCAGACCCAGGTCTGGCATTCCCCGCTACACCACATGCCTCGGAATCGCTACATTTACTTGGCCTGCATTGGAGTTGGGGAGAAAAGTCTGTAGGTCTTCCTGGAATGGTATGACTGATCTATGGTGTCCTATGTGGTCTGGGTGGAAGAAGGTGGTCTGTTCATGTTTGGGGGTGGCTAGGGGACCCCAGGGAAGAAACTTTATATGTGTGTCTGAAGGGTGGGGTCATGGATGGATTCAGGCACCCCTCCCAGCTGAGCATCCCTGAACTCTGTCTGCATTTGCTTCCAGATCCTGGAAGGAGACCAGGCCATCTTGCAGAGAATAAAGAAGGCTGTGCGGGCGATCCACAGCTCCGGCCTTGGTGAGTGAGCCTGCTTGATGCCCAGCCTGGCCAAGCAGCCCCTTCCCCAGCCCCAGCGAGGAACTGACTCTGCCTTTCCCTACCTCCACAGGCCACGTGGAGAATGAGGAGCAGTACCGAGAGGCTATAGAGTCCTTAGGCAACAGTCACTTGTCCCAAAACAGTCATGAGCTGTCCACTGGCTTCCTGAACTTGGCCGTGTTCACCCGCGAGGTGGCTGCACTTTTCAAGAACCTGGTGAGGCCCTGTTCCTTTCTCAGCCAGCCCTTAGCCTAGGCTCGGAGTAAATCAAGTGGGCTTAAGAACCTGACTGTCCGGGGTTGCCCTGGACCTCTAGTCTCCCTTGACCTTGACCAACGACCCAGATCCCTTTCCAGTTCTGACCTCCCATTTGCATTCTTCTTCTCTGACTCCCCACCCCACATCTTCTCTCTCCTGCTCTCCCTCCATCTCTGCCCTCCTCTTTCTCTTCATTGGTGAGTACCCAGCAGCAGAGGGAGGCTCACAGAGGGGAAGAGCCCCACAAAGAGAGGGCTCCCTGGAGGGAGTTTGGGAGAAGGGAGGCAGACTCTGGGGTTCCTGTCTTTGTGCCGCCACCTCCCCTGAACCTTCCCGGTCCTCTGCTTTCCCAACTGCATCTGCCGTATCCTCAAAGCCTGGAACCTACCTCCCCTCAGCAAGCGTCTTAGCTCCTGCACCTGCCCAGTGTCCTCAGGTTCTTGCCTGAGGTTTTTTCCTGAGATACGAGCTCTTCCCACAAATGGGCACAGTTCTCGGTACCTCACGTGGGTTAACCCATTGAATCCTGGAGCACAGCTCTGTGGGTTTGGTTTTACTATTGTCCCCACTTTACGGGCTAGGAAACTAGGGCATGAGGTCAAGCAAATTGCCCAAGCTCATATCACCGGATTTGAACCCAGGGTGTCTATCTCCAGCATCTGAACACAAGCCTGGCTGTAGCCCCTCGGGAAAGCCCAGCTCTCTCCAGGCTCCGTGGCTTGTGGACTGGCTTTCATGGCTCCAGTCCCTCCCTTGCCCAGTCCCTGGCTGCATCACCTCTGCCAGGTAGTTTGCTTGGTGGTTGAGCACCCGGACCTTGGACTTAGACTCAGACCTTGAATCCCTGCTCTGCTGCTCTCTAGGTGTGTGATTCTGGGCAAGTCACTCAGTCTGCCTGGGCCCCATCTCTAAAAGTGGGCTAATAATGTTACCCACCTCACAGAGCTGTAATGAGGCTTACACAAGTTAAATGCCTAGTCCGGAGTAAGCACTCAGGAAGTGTTTGCTACTATTGCATCTGTCATTATTATATCTCTTTGCATAGCACGGCCTCTCGCACTGTCCTCTGTGTAGGTCTTTAGTGTTTGAGTTCAACTGAATTAGTGATTGCTTTTGTCTTTATCTCTCCTCCCCCTGTAATGGTCAAACTAGGGTTTGCTGAGGGGCTCCTCTGTACTGGGCATTGTACTGGGGGCTGGTGACACAGCAAAGAGTCAGGCTGTGCCTTAGAGAGCCACAGTCTAGTGGGGGAGGCAGGAACTGAGATGTGGGACGACACCAAGCTTGACCAGCAGTGCAGCACAAACTCAAGAACCCAGCAAGTTGGGTCAGAGGCCTGGTGCTGCCAAAGTTCAGAAAAAGGAGCGTTATGGGGCGCCTGGGTGGCTCAGTCCGTTGAATATCTGACTTCGGCTCAGGTCGTGATCTCGGAGTTCTGGGATCGAGCCCCGAGTCAGGCTCCACGCTCAGCAGGGGAGTCGCTTGTCCCTCTGCCCCTCCCCCACACTTGTGCGCATGCTCTCTCTCTCTCAAATAAATAAAATCTTTAAAAAAAAAAATAACAAGGGAAGATCAGCACAGGCCATGGGTGGGAGCAGTCAGGAAGGCTTCCTAGAGTAGGGGAGACCCAAGCTGTACCTTGAAAGGTGAGCTGAAATATCAGACAGGCAGTTGGGGCTGCCAAATGATAGAGACTCAATTCAAAATAGGATTTTTTTTTTTCCAAACTAAGATTTTTTAAACAAGGAATGCATTGGCCCTTGTAATGGGAAATCCAGGTATGCAACTGGCTTTAGGCTTCTTCTCTTTCTCGTAGATAGTTTCTCTCTGTGTCTGCTCGGTGGGCAAGATGGCCCAGCAGACCCAGATTCACAATATTGCCAGAAGAAAGTCTTTCTCCCATGACTTTGGCAGAAAGTTCCAGGAGGGATCCTGATTGGCTGGCTTGAATCATGTGCCTGATCCAATCACTACAACCCAAGGATGGGGTACTCTGATCAGCTCTGACTCCTATGTTTACCCCATACTACCACAGAAGGGTTCCCCACATGATAGGGGGAGACAAGGAGCTAGCCGGATACAAATGACAGATGGGCACTTCAGAGTCGGGGTCTGAGGGGACAGGTGAGGGTGCTCGAGGCAAAGGGCCAGAGATGGGACTGACCGTGGATGTTCCTAGAGCTTGGAGGTGATGAGGCCGGTTAGTCCGGGTGGGGGTAACAGCTCTTATGGGAGACCGACTCCGCCACCCCTGCTACCCTCCACCCTCACCTCTCTTCCCCCCCACCTCCTCTCCCCCCAGTGCCATCCGTTGCCTCCCAATGCTGTGTCCTAGCCCCTTGGGGCTGGATGTATGGTCACCCAGGGTGGGGTATGGGGGTCTCTGCTCTTTCCAGGTTCAAAACCTGAACAACATTGTCTCATTCCCCCTGGACAGTCTATTGAAGGGGCAACTGAGGGATGGACGACAGGTGAGTTCCCATTTGGGGAGTGGGGGTGCCCAAAGGTGGTGGGAGGAAACGAGAGAGCGGTGGGCAGGAGACCAGAGGGGAGGCAGGGCTGGGCTGAAGCCGGAGGTCAGGTGAGGCTGTCACAGTGGGAGTGCTGACTACATATTAGGGACCCTTCCTCAGGATAGGAAGACCTGGCTCTGGGGTCAGCCTAGGATGGCTGACCTACTATCTGCCTGGGCCCTATGTGAGATAGCTCAGGCTGCACTTACAGCAGCCCCACGAGGTGGACTCTGTGGGCACTGTCATCCCTGTTCTGCAGGGGAGGAAACCTGAGGCTCAGGGAGTTTGGGAACCTGCTTACAGTTCATACAGCTGGTTGGTGGAGGAGCCAGGGTGGGATCTGGGGCTCCTAACTCCCAGGCTTGGCTCCTCACTGCACCTGGCAGCTCCGGTCTCTAGGCAGAGCAGAACTCAAAGAAAGTGACAGAATAATCTCCCTGAGAAATCTGCCCCAGAAGGCCCAGGGGAGAAGCTGTCCTACCCCCAGAGGCTTCCCTCTTGCCTGAGGCTGGTCACCAGCCTGGGAACCACCCAAACCAGCCATGCAGCTTCCCCCCCCCCCCCCCCCCCCCGGCTGAATGGGGCAACTCTGAAGAGTGTGACCAGGCGTGAGGCTTCGGCAAACTAGGCCAAGGGTCAGCCAGGTCTCACTGGGGCTTGCTGTGTGGCCTTAGGTAGACTTCTCAGCCTCTCTGTGCATATGTCCGTCTACCTGTACTCTTCCTCTTGAGAGCATGATCTAGTACCACGCAGGAGGAAGGGGTGGGATAAAGTTAGGGGAGGAGTCTGACCTTCATCTTCACATCCTCATCCTTATGGCGATCTCCATCTTCTGAGGGAGAGGACTTAGGGCAGACCCCCAAAATCTTCCCACACCTCGGGCCAAGGCCCACCAAACCCAGCTGATTCTTAGCAACTATGGGAGGAGGTTAGGTGGGTGAAGGGTCTCAGCCCTGAGAGCGGGGCCAGTTGGGTCTATTGGGGGGGTGAGGTTTACAGTAAGTGCTCTGGGGGTGTAGGGGTTAGTTGGAGTATGGCTCTGAGCAGCATGGGTGAGCATGAAAGTGCAAGGTCACCTTAAAGGTAGCAAAGTGGACTGTGGATTCCAGACCCCAAGCTCCCCTTTGGGCAAATTGTTCTTTTTAAACCACAGGATTCCAAAAAGCAGCTGGAGAAGGCGTGGAAGGACTATGAAGCCAAAATGTAAGTGGCTGCGGTCAGGGTGGTTTCCCCAGGGCAGTAATGCTGGTCTTGCAGCAGGAGGCTAGACACTGGGGAGAACTTCAGTGCTGCCCGAACATGTCACCCCAAAGCGCACAGCATCTCACTCTCTAGAGGCATTTTACGGGGGGTGATTTATGCCCAGGCCTGATGGAAGTCTGAGGGCTGGACTGTGAGACCACCAAAGGGAAGCAATTGGGAAGGGACCTCAAGATGCTGCTCTCAGAGGCCCATCTGCTCTGTGGTTCCAGACGTGGTCAGCTACCGTTCACTGAACACCTCTGCGTGTCAGCCCCTTAATCCTCGCGACCACCCAGACCTGTGCGGGAGGGGTTAGCGTCCCGATTGTCAGAGAAGGAATTGGAGGTTCAGATGAGTTAAGTCACTTGCCCAAGGCCACACAGCTAGGTGGAGGTAGAACTGGGATTCATGTTCCTTGATCCTCTTTCTGCGACACCAGGTGGTATCTCTCAACATTTTGGTGGACATAGAGGAGGGAAGGAGTCAGTGTCCTACCCGGGCCTCTTGGGTTCACCACACGATACTTGGGACCTCTCACCAGCTACAGGGACATCACAGGGACGGAAGGAGCCAATTCCCCCAGAGCAGAGACTCCTCAGGCTCTGTCTGCAGGATTCTTCCAGGGCTCGGCCAGGCTCACCATACCTCAGAGCACCGTTGACTGTTTATAAAATTTTGTTTTCGCTTGCATTTTGCGAAAGCAATATCTGTCCATTGTGAATAACTTAGAAAATAAGGAGAAGCAAAAGAAGAAAAAAATTTTAATTATCCGTAGGAGAGGATTAGGGCCATGTGGGGACTAGCCACTACTTCTCTGTTGTTTGAGTATTTTTTTTTTTTTTTTTTAGATTTTATTTATTTATTTGACAGAGAGAGACACAG